GATGGACGCTCTCAAGGTGAATTGTTATCGCATATTCGTTGGGGTTCACGTTCTGTAGCGGATTACTCCATGGAATTCCGAACTTTAGCAGCCGGAAGTGGCTGGAATGAGCCCACTCTCATAGTGACTTTCCATAAAGGCCTAAATACAGAAATTCTGTCTGAACTTGCTTGTAAGGATGACGGACTGTCTTTGGACGATCTCATTGCCCTTGCTATTCGTTTGGATCTGCTAAAACAAAGTTCCAGACCTAAAGTACACCACCTTTGGGCTCCGAAATGCCCCCTCAGTTTTCCAGTCATTCATTAATGATGTGCTCCGAGATATGTTGGGGAGCTTTGTAATCACCTACATTGATGACATTTGGATTTACTCACCTGATCTTCCTACCCATGTTCAACAGGTTCGTTGAGTCCTGTCCTGTTTGTTGGATAACCAATTGTATGTAAAAGGGGAAAAAGGTGAATTTCATTTGTCTGAGACCTCTTTCCTAGGTTATGTCATAAGTGCTGATGGTGTTTTCATGGATGACAAGAAGGTGGCTGCAGTGGTTAACTGGCCTGTGCCCACTACGGTGAAGGAGCTGCAACAATTTCTTGGGTTTGCTAACTTTTACCGCAGGTTCATTCGTGACTACAGCACAGTTGCAGCTCCTCTCACTGCTTTGTTGAAGGGGGGAGCTAAAAGACTGATGTGGAATAACCAGGCTGAGATTGCTTTTCAGCACCTTAAGGACACGTTCACCACAGCTCCATTGCTAAAACACTCTGATCCCTCTAAACCTTTCATTGTGGAAGTTGATGCTTCTAATGTGGGGGTTGGGGCTGTCTTGTCTCAACACCATGGTGAACCTGCTAAACTGTATCCTGTTGCTTTCTTTTCCCACAAGTTGTCACTGGCAGAACAGAATTATAGTATAGGAGACCGTGAATTGCTGGCTATGAAATTAGCCTTTGAAGAATGGCGGCACTGGCTGGAAGGTGCTCAGCATCCGTTTCTGGTTTTAACTGACCATAAAAACCTTGAATATCTGTGTTCCGTAAAACGACTAAACTCACGACAAGCTTGTTGGTCTCTGTTCTTCTCGAGGTTTCAGTTCACCATTACTTATCGTCCGGGTTCACATAATACAAAAGCTGACGCGTTATCTCATATTTTTGACAGTGAGAGTTCAGAGTCTGGTGTACCAGAGACAGTCCTAGAACCCAAACTAATACTCACGCCCATTCGTTGGGAAATAGATTCGGAAATCGACGAACATAATCATAACACGCCGCCCTTCTCGTGTCCCAGAGACAAGAAATTTGTACCCGGTGCATTCTGTGATCGTCTCATTACCTGGGCCCACTCTTCCCTTACCTCGGGCCACCCAGGAGAAACCCGCACTCACCAGCTGCTGTCGTCAAAATATTGGTGGGAGAGCATGTTAGCTGATATCCATCGGTTTGTAGCATCGTGTTCGACCTGCTCCCAATGTAAAACCCCCCGCACATTACCTGTTGGCAAACTAATGCCATTACCCATTCCTTCTCTAATGGTCAATGTGAGAGAACAAACCAGGAACTAGGCAAATTTTTAAGACTTTATTGTCATAACAACCAACACGACTGGCACAGATACTTACCATGGGCAGAGATAGCTCAGAATTCTCTCACTAGCTCCACTACTAATCTCACTCCGTTCCAGTGTATGTATGGTTATCAGCCCCCTCTTATGCCATGGACAGCCACTCCCTGAGGGGAGACCCATCAGCGGATCGAAGCCGTACGCCGGAGACAAAAACGCCAAGCTGATCAGCAACGTGGTGACACCCCTTCCTACTCCATAGGGGACCGAGTATGGCTGTCGAGCAGTGATTTCCGGATTTCTGAGGGAAGTAAAAAACTTCTGCCCAAGTACATTGGTCCATTCAAGGTCCTAGATAAAGTAAACAATGTCACTTACAAGTTAGACTTACCTATTCAGTACCGAGTGTGTAACTCCTTCCATGTATCTTTGTTTAAGCCCGTAGTCTCTGGTCCGTTGGATGAGGTCACGCCCGACGCCAGTTCCCTGCCTCCTGTGGTCATGGAGGGTGCACCCATCTACGCTGTCCGGCGACTCCTGGACTCTCGTCGGTGTAGAGGGGGCCTGCAGTACCTTGTGGACTGGGAAGGGTTCGGACCAGAGGAGAGGAGTTGGGTGCCGGCGGAGGACGTGTTGGATCTGGCTCTGGTGGAAGAGTTCCATCAGAGTCATCCATTGCGCCCCGCTCCGCGTCCCCATGGTCGTCCTCGTGTGCTATCTTCCAGTCCTGCCAGCGGTACTCGGAGAGGCCGTCCCAAAACCCGTTCCCTAGGTGATTCCCAAGGTAGCAGGTGGTCCGGTGGATCTGTTCGGAGTCGCGGCAGCTCGGGTGGCTACCCTGCTGGGGTTCTCGTCCGGGGGGGACTGGTTGTCGTGGTCGTCCTCGTTCGCAAGCTGTCTCAGACTCTTTGGGGGGGGGAGTACTGTCACACTTCTGGGTTCTCCTCCCTTGCCTAACACGCTCCAGGACTCCATTTCCCAGAATCCCAATCATGACATCACCCCTTCCACCAATCACAGGCCTCTGCCTCGTTCTCAATCACCTGAGTACTGATTCAACACACCTGCATCTGTTTGTCTTAGACTTTAAAAGGATCCTGGTTTGTTCTCCTCTTTGCGAGGTGTTGCCACACTTCTGTTTACTGAGCGTTTATCTTCTATTTTCATGTCCTGTGTACTCACCCCATTGCCTGTTTTCTCCATTGTTTCTCTTTTGGATTTGCCCTTATTGCTCAGGTTGCCTGTGTTTTTGCATTTTCTGGTTTTTGACTTTTGCCTGTTTTTGGATACTGTTTTGGATTTGCCCTGTCTGCTCTGGTTGCCTGTGTCTTTGTATTTTCTGTTTTTTTACTTTTGCCTGTTTTTGGACATTGTTTTTGGATTTGCCCTAACTTGGTTTAATGAGAGAAACAACTGTTTTTAAGATCCGCGAGCGTCTTTCTGTGCTTGTTCAGTGTTACACTTCTTTCTTACAGCGTTACTCTTCACTTTTTTTCTCTGAAATGGCTTTGACAGTAAAGACAATGTTTCTTCAAAGCTCTTGCATGATACAGCACCTTCCAACAGTAAAAAATAGCCATTAAATTGTGCACTTTATGTATACATTTTCAGTGCTTATATCTTTGCTTTTGTCAGAAAGCAATACCACTGGCCTAAATCCACTTCACCTTACTACAGCACAATTAATCACTTCCACAAGTATGCCGATAATTGTTTATAGTTATTCTGGACTATACTGTGCTTTTGTCAGGGGGATTGTGTATACACTATTTTTTTATTTTTTTTAGTGCTTATGTTTTTGTATTTAAACTGTCATAACACTGTTCTGATAAAGCTTATGACTACTCTAACACACTTAATTTAGCACATGTGGGGTTTGGTAACTAGTTAATGAGCTGAATCAGGTTTGCCAGAGGAGGTAAATCATAGAAATATGTATGCTATATTCATATTATTTCTAAAGAAAAACAAATATACAGAGAAATGGAGTGACAATGCAACAGAAAGATTTATTTAAGTGCTAACAAGCTTGTAGCCAGAGAAAACAAATTAAACAAGCCAAAGGAAAGAAAAGCTCAGACTTTTCAAAGGACTGGGCAAGACCACAAAGAGCAATAACACTGAGAAAGTCCTTGAGTGATGTGAGTGTAATGTGGAGAAGGTTGGCAGAACAGGTGCTAGTGGTCAGTGCAAAAAACAGTGTTGTATATCAGCAAGTTAAACATAAAAAAAACATTATTTTGTTCATTCAATAGTATGCATTAATACGTATATGTTAATAACTTTAGTGAGAATAAACCCTTTTGCAGAGCTATGACATCCAAGTAGCCCTGGGTTTAGCAGCATATGGCATATGTGACTGTCTCATATAAGTACTTTATAATTGCAGTTGACCAAAAAACAACAATCATGCAAAATTATCCTAGGATTGTAAGATTTAAAGCAATAAGTCACTGCAAGCATGTATTGTTAGCCACGATATTAAGTGATATTAAGTCTGCATTTCTTAGAACACTTATTTTTTCTTCTTTTCCTCATTCATCGGGACACAGACCAGTTTTTGGAGAGTACTTGCATAATTTACTCTGAACCTTTGTTATCTTGTTTAATCCAGTCTTTTACTACAGCTGTATGTATTGATTATTCTTGTTGTTATGATTCTTGATACTCGATAGCTAAATTCTTGTATATATTAGCATGTAATTTTGCTTCATTTCAGATTTCACTGAATTTGTATTTTATTTATATGAATATGTTTGTATATGGTTGTATTTGTCAAATGCTGTACTAACTGTGTTTTTGAACAAGCTGGTTGTAATAGGGTCCAGTTGATCTCTAGATTGACTGTTGCCATTATTGTTCCATGTCCAGCTGTTTTGTCATGTTTTTATTATATGTTTAATTTTGTTAGCTGCTTTGTCTGTCATTTTAATGAATACATTTGGCAATTTATTTATGTTATATGCAAAGCACCTCATGGACTTGGCTTGTAACACACAATCACAGTTAGCAGGCTAAATATTTGGCACAACAGGAAGCTACCAGCATTCAAGCACATTTAGTGTATATCATTTAATGGGAGGAACTGGCTTAAACAATCTGGCATATTGTTGTGAGATAGGACACATTCCCTCGGTCAAGCAAGGTTGTGGATCACCAAAGAAGCAGGGGTTCTATGGAAAAGTGGAACTTGATATCAGTGACACAGAGTGAATGGAGTAAGGTAGCAGAATCTAGTGTGAAATCCCCGGCCCCAGCCCCAGATTTCACAACCATGTCATGTGACTGTTATTCAAGTGATGGACATGTCTGAGAAGTTGTCTAAAAAACTGGTTTGGAATAATGTTTCCTGTAAGCAAGGTACAGTTATCACCTGTCCACATTCCTAAGCTAAGGTACAAATATGCTGTGGAGTAAAGGGCACCTGCAGGTACAGCAGGAGCAGCATCTCAGAGGCAGAGAGAGCTTGCTCTGCAGTGTTTTCTCAGGTAAGACATTAATAATGGAATTTAAGCTCTATATGACAGTAACAGAATATATTTTAAACCGTCTTGTGATCTTTATTCATAAGTGTGTTGTGTATGCTTGTATTACTTTATCAGTCTCCTCAAGAAATACTATGAGGTTGATTGTTATTGCAAGTTTTGCAAGGGGCAAAATCTTGTCATGTCTGTTTTTGTTGTTTTTCATTTTTTTGACATAATTTGAAAAAGGCAGTTGCCCTATATGTTTTATCAAAAGTTCATGATGAAAGGACCAACAGAAATGTTCCAAAATTACTTGGAAAAAAATATTTCACCATTTACTTCCATTAAAAGTTAAGAATGTTTTTCCTTGTCCTGTGAAGTTATTATTACTTATTGGAGACAGGAGGTTTTGTTCAGACAGCAGCAAAATGCAAATAAATACTGTATGCATTAAATTCATTGAAAAGCTAAGGCTAAGAGCATGTGGAAATATTGTATTTTTCCCATGTTAGATTTGAGCAACATAAACAAGATAGAAAGTATTCCCTGTATATGACATCTATGAAATGGTCCTGCTCAGCTAAAAACTAAAAGAATTTCAGTTTTATTGTATGTGTCTTCTTAATTAACAGACGTAACACATTCAGTAGCACATTGATATAACTACATTTTTAAGTAAGCCCAAACTTTAGAAATAAAGAAAAAAATCACCTAAATCACTTCAACTGCCAACTAAGGTGAGAATGTGAAGTTCAACACTAAAATTTTAAATATGTCTGTAATTTAAACATGGTGTAATATTGTTGTAATTCTAAATGTTCTTACATGTTTGAATTTGGGAGCAGTTCATCATAATGGGGTTTCTGACCTCACTGTGGGCTCCACTACTGCTGCTAATAAGTGGTAAGTTTGCCGATTTTATTCACAAATGGAACTGTGGTGCAGCACAAGAACATATCAACAACAAACTTGTTCTCTAATGTTCTTTCTTTCACAGGAGGAGTGAACATAGGACAGTCAGAAGGTAATCAGAGGTTAATTGCTGTTTGGTGTTTTTAACAAATTGCTCACCTGATAAATCTCATCATTTACATTTATTAGAATTTTAAATGAGCTATCTGTGGACAAGCAACTATAATGTGAAAAAAATGCATTAATCATACAATAAATACCACCATTAGCAGCAGCAAAAGAGTTAAAATTTACTAATGAATTGCTGTTTATTGGGCTTCTACTACTAATCTACTAATCCTACCCTTTTACCCTGCCCTTGTCCTGTATCACTTCTCTTATCTGAGTTTTTTTTCTTTCTTTATTTATTTTTTTTTGCCAAACTCTTTCTATCTTCTACGCAAGCCTCCTTCTGAATCATGTGATCATTCATTCTCATCTTAAAAATGCACAAAATGTATTAGGTAAGGGCTTTTAAAATTGATCATGTCAAACAGTCACCAAGTCCATCAGTCTTAAGACAGAACTTGAACTGTATGCTGATTTGGTGCTGCAAGAGCCTACAAAACTTGCTAGTCTGGTGGAACAGCAATACTATCAGTTCCCGTCTTCTGCTGATAACGGAACAGTTAACATACACAGGATCTTCCATCTAAAGAAAATCAGATGTAACAGCAATGCTCTGTGATCATCTCTAACACATTGGGCGCCACAACTGGAGTGTAGCTATCTGGAAAATAGGCTAGTATAAAACAAAACAAATACCAACTGAAGGTTCCGTAACCAGCAATTTCTTTAATTTCACACCTAACAAAGATAGTGGGAACATAAAAGACTTTCCCAACACAACTCTTTGTTCTTTTCCTTCTCCCTATTTTTTAAGGTACAAACAGAGCAGTGACTCGAGAGAAAGAGGATAGGTCTTGAGAAGCTAGAAAGAGAAAAATAGATGCGAATAAACTTTATGTTAATATCACAAAATAATTAACTCGTTATCTCAACATAACAATACAGAAAATTATAGCAACAGCTCATGGCCTCTCCGGACTTTCATATGTAACTGAGCCTTGCTCTTGAATGGGTCGACCCACCGGTGTAGTAGATCTCCCTTGATTAGGAGCAGCCCCACACCACCCTTTGGTGGCCGGCACAGGTCGAGCTCCTGTCCTGACCTTTACATATATATTTAAGTATATTTCAAAGGCTCTAGCAATCAACTCCAAAAAGACCTGAAGCTCAAGTTCAGACAACTCATGTTTTATGTTTTAAAGTTGGTCTTCTGAAGTGATTTTAAGCAATTAGGAACACATAAGTGGTGCATGAGTATCTGTTTTGCTGGAGTGTAAATATGAAGTGACACTATATATATATATATATATATATATATATATATATATATATATATATATATATATATATATATATATATATATAAATATCAATAAAACTCAATTATGTAACATAATAGAGGGCCAGAAACATTTGGTGAGCTCATGTGAAGCCAGGCAAAAATATAACAGATTATTTTATTTATATGGATATATATGGAGTATTTGTCAGATAGTTATTTATTTTTATTTCCATGACAGCTACATCATATACACCCACTTTTGATCCCTGCAATAAATACACTTCTTTGGATCAACCCTGGAGAGCCAATAATGAGACTGGACTGAACATCTGTGACAAAGACTTCAACTGGAACGGCTGGTACCGTCTGCTCTATTATGGGATGAACATCCGTTTGTCAGAGAGCTGTGTTCCTACATCCAGATGTGGTACTTATTACACTCTGTGGCTCAATGGTCCTCATCCTCAGATACAGGATGGAGTGGTCACTCGCCAGGTCTGTGGGAATGGAGGAAGTGACTGCTGCTACATTGCTTCCCCGTCAATTCAAGTTAAAGCATGCCCAGGGAATTACTATGTGTACAAGCTTGTCAGTCCAAGCTACTGCAACATGGCTTACTGCACAGGTGCAACATTTAAAGATGATTGTATTTATTTTAATTTGATTCAACATGATTGTATTCAGTTGCATGAGGTATTTTACCATGTTTGTTTTGAACTAATGTCTTTCCAGATGTCAACACCATAACCCCAACAACTACAGACACTGGATCAGAATTCAGCATAAGCATCAGTAGGTTTTCAAAGTTATTCTCATCCATTTACTCTCTTATAAATTGTTTAAACTAGAAAATCTACAAAATTCAATCTACCTTCAATCTCTCAAGATTTAGGTGTTTCCCAAAAATGTATCTACATCTTTCTGTATATGTTTACAAGCATTCAGTACATGTGACCTGTAGTTTAAAAGTACCACAAGAAATAATTCATCTTTGAGTCTCCAGTAGGATTACAGTGGTCTGCTTTTATGGCATCTAAAAATCTCCAATAGATCTATAATCTCTTAACAAAATAGTGACATACATATATGTCAGCAATAACATATATTGAGCAATAACATAAAGTGAAGTACCTAAACAGTACCTCACTTTTATTGTATTGATTATTTTAGAGGTAAAAAAATGCTATATGTAGCTTGTAATGATTGTAATTGTTTTTTTGAGATAATTTTGCCATTTTTTTAAATTATTTACTTATAAACTATAGGTCATATGTACAGCATAAAATTAGAGAATAATTAGTCTAATTTTGATTTTTTTTGAAGTTTTATTATCCCAATTTACTAGACAAAGACCCAGTTACCATAACTACTACAACACAAAGAATCATAGAGCATGAATAGCAATTTCCTATTGTGTATTATACAACAATTAGTTCTGGCCGCACAAGCTGATTGGTTGAGAAGCATTTCGCAAACACCGTATTACTCCGCTGAGATGCCGTTGCTAAGCAACGACTTTGATAGGAGATGCTCAAGTTATATTTCTGTTTGCGCACAAACAGAAAATGGATACTTTTAAGATCACATTTGATCTATAGCCGATTTGGTCAGACTCTGAAGATGAGGCTAAAACTGTGACTTAGTCTGTGTAAGGAGCTGGAGAACGAACTGCCGGCTGTGCAGCGAGTGAACGGAGCTCGCTACTGTGACGTAGCAATAAGCTGCTTGTTAAGGAACTATAATTTGGCGGAAGGAATCACTAACATTAAAATATATTAAATGACACGTTCACAGCCCAGTTTATTTATTTCTTACTTTACTTATTTAACTGTTGTATAAAAGCAACAGAACACAAACATAAGTTGATGTCTTCAAAAAACCTACAAATAAACAAAACAATATTTTATTTATAATTTTACATTAATAACATAAACACAAACATTTTGAATACAGTCCCATATCCCACCCCAATCCAACATCCGGACAAAAATGGGAAAAAAAAGGGAGGGAGAGAGAGAATGAAAGAAAAACAAAACTAAGGTCCCTTTAACTTGTCTAAGAACTTATTCCACATCAAATGAAAATGCCTCTGAGCTTTTTTTATCGCAGCATCTCAATCTCTCCATCTGGACAATGTGTGTCATCTCAGACAGCCATCTTTTAAAACAAGGGGCTGAGGATGATTTCCATTTAAGAAGAATGACCTTTTTGGCAGCGACCATACTGGTCATTAGAACCTGCTGCTCAATTCGGAAAAATCAACTATAGACTCAGAATAGCCACAAATCGCAACAACAGGATCAGGAGACACTTGGATGTCAAGTAGATTAGAAATAAATATAAATATATTGGACCAAAAATCATGTAAGACTGGACAGAACCAAAACTGATGAGCCGAGGTGCCATCTGCAATCTCACATTTGTCACAAAGTGAAGACACCGATTTGTAGATCCTAGATAGTTTAGTTTTTGAGTAATGGAGGACCTTGAACTGAATCAGCCTGTACTTTGAGTTGCTGGAGCATAATGAGATTCTGGACAGACTCTCCTCCCAGACCTCCTCAGACAAAGGAGTGGCAATATCTGCAGCTCATGCCTCCCTGAAGCGGTCAGCATCCGGGAAGGAAATTAAGAGTGAAACAAACTTCGATATTAGGTGCTGAGAGTTAATAAGAAAAAATTTGAAAAATGGGTGATCTGTTGATTTAAATGTAATTTGAAATGTTTTTTTGTAAATAATGTCTGACCTGCAAATAACAAAAAAAGTTTGTATAAGGAAGACTATATTTATCTCTCAACTGTGCAAATGATGCTAATTTATTTTCTATATATAGATCACCAATACAAGATAACCCTTTTTCAACCTAGGTGGAAAATGCATGATCCATAACAGAAGGCGGGAAAAGATGATTAAGAAAGAGAGGTGTATGAATGGAGGTTGCAGGAGATTTGAGGTCCTTAATTAGGTTCAATATTTTAAGTGAATTCCTCAACATGAAATTTTTGCCAATCACCCCACGAGCAGACTTTATGTTTGAAGATAGAAAAACTAGCAAAGAAGATCCTGTAATTGACTTAACTTCCAGATCAACCCAACATGGCCTATCCTTTGACACTAGACTGTACGAAGATCCCAATTTCCAAAACATAAGAGCTCTAGCATTTGCAGCCCAGTAATAATGTTTAAGCACTGGTAAGGCCAATCCTCCGTCTGAATAGGGCTTTTGTAGATGAATCTTAGAAATACGTGTTGTTTTATAACCCCATACAAATTGCATTATTATTGAATCTAATTGGTTAAAGAATGTAGCAGACACAAAAATGGGGAGTTTTTGAAAAATATATGTAAATCTTGGTAGTATCACCATTTTAATTGCATTGATTCTGCCTATCATAGACAAAGGAAGTAGATGCCAACATTCAATGTGTGCCTTAAATTTATGCACCATACTTAAGAAATTTAACTTAAACAACAATTTGGGATTCCTTGGCACTTTAAGGCCAAGATAAGTAAAATATTCATCAACCACTTTAAATAGTAGCGCATTTAAGAAGAGAGGATCTAAGGTTCCATTCAGAGGCAAAACTTTGCTTTTATATCCTGATAATTTACCAAACAAATTTACACAGTTTAAAAGACTAGGAACTGATGTGGCTGGATCTGAGATGTACAACAATAAATCATCAGCATAGAGACTAACCAAACATTCCACTTCCCTGAATTTAATGCCATAAATTTTTGGGTAATTCTTTATTCCAATAGCCAGTGGCTCCAAAGCAATATTAAAAAGCAGAGGAGACAGAGGATCGCCTTGTCGCACCCCTCTGTACAATTTAAAAGGAGAAGAGCGGTCGCAGTTACCTCACGCACATAATGAAAAATTCTCCAAAGCCAAATCGATTAAGGACATTAAACATATATGGCCATTCAGTTCAAATGCCTTTGAGCATCTAGTGAAATTATGGCTTCAGCTGAATCTACATTACGATTTGAGTAGAGAATATTCAGCAGACACCAGACATTACAAAATGAAACTCTATTAGGTGTGAACCTAGTTTGGTCTAAATGCACAATTTCAGAAATATGTATTGCCAGTCTAAGTGTCAAGATCTTAGAGAATATTGTTTGATCAAATTCAATAAAGAAATGGGTCTAAAAGAAGCAGGATCAGTAGCATCCTTCCCCGTCTTTAAGATGAGACATATATTAGCCTCATATAATGTACTTGGGAGTTTTCTATTTTCCAAAGAATCTAATAACATTCTCAAAATCAGCAGAGCAAGTTTAAAGGAAAAAGCTTTATAGAACTCGCAGCCAAACCCATCAGGGCCAGCAGCCTTACCAGATGGAAAGGATTTAATTGCCCTAAGAACATCTGCCTCTGTGAAAGGAGAGTCCAGTGTATTTTTTGCAACATCTGAAAGTTTAGGGATGTCCAGGTTATTTAAGAAAATATCAAAATCTGCATCTGAAGCTGTGCACCTAGTAGAATAGAGATCTGAATAAAATTCTTTAAAACAAGCATTAATTCCTTTTGAATTGGTAATAAGGCTACTGCTTTTTGACTTCATCTTGTAAATTGCCTGTTTTGCCAACACACCTTTTAACTGCCCGGCCAATAAACGTTCAGGCTTATCACCAAGTATTTTTGTTTTAATTTGACTAATAAAGATTCAGCTCGCTTACTCAGAATGGAATTATACTCATATTTGAGCAGCAATATCTTGTTATAGACAGACTGCAAAAAAGAATTTCTATAAGTCTGTTCAAGTAATCGGAGCACATTTTCTGTTTCTTCCAACCTTTTATTCATCTCCTTTTTCTTGAAGGCTTCGAAAGCTAAAACATTGCCCTGCATGACAGCTTTAAATGTCTCCCAAAGTATTGAGTCTGACACCTCACCTGTGTCGTTGAAAGCTAAAAAATCATCCAACTTTGAGTTCATGTATGTTATAAACTCTGGATCTGTAAGTAAGCGAGGATTAAAACACCAGCTATAAGTCTGTTTGGAAACAATATCAGAGAGACTAAGCGTAACTGGGCTATGGTCTGAGATCAATATATTATGATATTTAGTGTTGGTGACTTTAGGTATTAGCTCTGAAGAAATCAAAAAATGATCAATCCTAGTATAGGTCCTGTGCATGTGAGAGTAACATGAATAGTTCCTGTCTGTTGGATGCTGTAGCCTCCATATATCAACCATATTTCTCATCTTGATCAGGTTATTCAAAACTTTGGCTGCAGCCGGGATAGTGGGTGGTCTTGAAGAGAGCCTGTCCATATAAGGATCTAAAGAGTAATTAAGGTCATCTCCCATAATGACAGGGGATGATGTGTTGGGTATAAGAGCAAAAATCTTGCAAAAGAAAGCAGGGTCATCAAAATTAGGGGCATAAACATGAACTAATTTTATTGGAAAAGAACTTAGCCTGATATGATAACATATCCACCATGAGGATCTGCTTTCATTGTCTCCAGACGAAACTGTATGTTCTTTTTTTTAAAAAAAATTGCAACACCCCTGGCTTCAGATGTAAACGGTGCCTGATAAACTTGGGATATCCAACTAGCCCTAGGTTTTGACTGATAATTTGGAGATATATGTGTTTCCTGAAGAAAAATTCTGTCCATTTTCAATGATTTAAGATGAGAGAACACTCGCGCATGCTTAATAGGATGCCCTAATCCCTAACATTCCAAGAAGCTATAGAGATGCCATAGAATACATTGAAAATTGATAAATGACAAAGAAACCAATCAAAATTATCCTCCCTACCAAGAACACGGAAAAAAACCAACACCTGGTATCCCATCCCACCTCCCCATCGGCTCGCCTCCCATTGGAAGCACCGAAAACAGTCCCTAAATGCTGGGACCGTGCAACCGGCAAATACCTCAACAAGGAAAGAAGAAAAACTAAAATATTATAATCCGCCCCGCAACTAGGCATGAGCACATATAAATATATAAAGTCCGCTAAATCACCATCAATTTGCCTGACAGAAACTCTTCTCTCAAAATAAACTTGAGGAGTAGAACGGAGCCTCATATTCTTAAAAGAAATTAAACATGCAGCAGCAATAGTTATCACCAGAAACGTTCATCCAAGAGAACAGATATTAATGGAGAAAGTCAAAGCAGCGACTAGAAAGGGAAAAGGATCCCCTCTCTCCACTAGGAAGTCATTTCAAACCTCAAGTCTTAATTCCACCTTCCAGTTCTGCACGGAGAAAACACCTTGCTTCTTCCCCTTCAGTGAAGGTCCCAGAGTTACCCCCACTGTCAGTGTGAAGCCTTGCAGGAAACCAAAAAGAGTATGATATCCCTCGGTTCCTGAGATCTTTCAGAAGATCTGAAAACTGCCTGCGTTTCTGTGCCTGACCTTGCATTGCAAAAACTCAGGCTGTTTCGCCACTCGATGCATCTGTGTCTCGAGCGCGCTCCCCCAAGTCACCTGCTCAGATGCTGTTTCCGCCATTGTGTCGAGCCTCTCTGCAAACTCGATCTGTTTTGCCTGCACAGCCTGTAGGGTTTGTTCGATAGAAACAAGTCGAGCCAAAATACTATTCTGTTTCTCCATTAGAAGCTTAGCCCAAGCTGGTGGAGATTCAGAGCTTGGGGGACTCTGGGGGACTTCTGTTTTGCAATCTTCGGTGGCATATTCGCATTGGAAACTCGTTCAAACTGAAACCAACAGCACTAAGTACACTCCTCACTTACATTAAGGATGTAAATTTATGATGGGTAGCCAAAAAAGTCGTTTTATCATGCAAAATCGTGGAGCAGAAAACAAAACACCATCTACTCCATGGCTACTCGCTAGCGCCCCCCAAAAGCAAGACGTCTTTAAGAAAAAAAAAAAAAGACTTGAACCAAAGAAAGGTATTTAAATTCAAGCAAGATATTATTAAATAAAAAGAAAACAGAACTTCAAAGTCTGAAGCTACCCTGTGGTCTGTATTTTAGTCAGAGAGTGCAGATATAGACCCGACTACCCCAGTAAATTCCTCTGCTCCTGATAGTCTGGATTTGAACACTGTTTTAATTTTCTCTGCAGGTTCAAATTTGAAGTCCTTTCATTAGAAAGTTTACTTCTTTAATTTAAGGCTGACAGTTTCAAAATAAACATTGACAGCTTCACATTAAAGCTGACAGTTTTAAATAATAAGTTAAAAGTTTTAAAAGGTGCAGCAAAGTAAAGAAGCTTGCAAGCCAAATGCTAAAGCTTATTTGCAAAGAATTAACGAATTAACATTTTCATTTAAAATGGTCAACTTGTATTTAAAGCTGTGAGCCTTTATTCAAAAGTGTCTGCTTTTATGTAAAGCTGTTTCTTTTATTTTAATTACTTTTCTGCAGATTTATGTTTATTGTGAGTCCCTTTAAAATGTAACATCTAATTCACAGAAATTTCCAATCCACAGCATCCTCCCCAACCAACTACAGCTTTGACCCCTGTAATAACTACAGTGTTGTTGATGACTACTGGAGAAACACACGCATTACTGACACTAATTATCGAGGTCATGATGACACAGTTGTTGAATGGAAGGGCTGGTACAGACTGTACATTGAGGGCAAAAGTGCTAAGATTGCTGAAACTGTCTGGTGTGAGAGATACAGGACATGCGGTGGTTACTCTGCACTTTGGCTTGGCGGATCTCATCCACGACTAGAGGACGGCATCGTCACCCGAGAAATCTACAAATCCTACAACTGGTACAATTGGTATTGGTACAATGGTTATCAATGCAGTTTCACCACATCCAAATCAATCCAAGTGAAAGCCTGTCCAGGAGATTACTATGTCTACAAACTTGTTCAGCCAGATGTATCAATTCCAATGCCAACATACTGTGCAGGTAAATCTTACAGTTTAAATCACAACATAGATTTCACGTCATTAGAATCCTTCTCTGAACAAATCACATTTACATAGAAGATACAGTAAACATAAAACTATATTGTATGTTATCATTTTTGAAGAAAAAACAGTAAATATTTCAACTACTATGCTTCTGTTTCTACAACAGTTGCTTTTAGAAGCCTCACTTATGATCCATGCCATAACTATCTCTCACTGGACCAACCCTGGAGAGCCAATAATGAGACTGGATTAAACATCTGTGATAGAGCCTTTAACTGGAACGGCTGGTACCGACTGTTCTATTATGGGATGAACATCCGTATGGCAGAGAGCTGCGTTCCTACATCCAGATGTGGTGCTTATTACAGTCTGTGGCTCAACGGTCCTCATCCTCAGCTAGAGGATGGAGTGGTCACTCGCCAGGTCTGTGGGAATGGAGGAAGTGACTGCTGTTCCTTAGGATCCACCACGATACGAGTGAAAGCATGCCCAGGAAACTACTACGTCTATGAGCTTGTCAGCCCAATCTACTGCAATATGGCTTACTGTACAGGTACTGCCATTACTGTATATGCTTTATACCATGATTTTTGCGAATATTTCTAATCCTATATCAAGCATGGTTTTCAGATGTCAGCAGCATAACCCCACTGTCAGTCCCAGCAACTGTGGCCCCAGGTTCAGACTGGAGTAGGTTTCCATAGATATTTTTATGAATATGTTAGAAATGCATATAAACTCTCCATTTTGAATTGGTTATATATTCAAGTTCAATATTTTGTGCTTCATGATATTGAATGATTTCTATTGGATTGTATCCTGTTTAACATGTTGTCAGTGATGAGACTTTGCTGATGTTTGCCTGAGTTGGTGTTCATGCATGGTTTTAGTAGTGCTAATCAACATATGGAATTCTGTATGCTAATTTGTTTTCTGTCACTGTACATAAACTGTTTATGAAACATTGACTGCTTGTTATGTTTCCACAGCAGCCAGTTTTGACCCCTGTTATAACTACACGGTTCTTGACGATGATTGGAGAAATGCACACACTTATAGCTGGAGTGAGAGTGACAGAGCTCATGATGACACTCTTGTTGAATGGAATGGCTGGTATCGGCTGTATCTGCAGGGAGCAAATGCTCAGATTCCTGAGATGTGCGTGAGCTTCGCTACATGTGGCGGATGCTCTCAACTGTGGCTCAATGGATCTCATCCACGTCTAGAAGACGGCATCGTTACCCGAAAAATCTATGGAACCAGCACTGATTTCTACAGCTACATTAAACAATGCATTTACAGACATAGATCCAAACCAATCCAAGTGAAAGCCTGCCCAGGAAATTACTATGTCTACAGACTTGTTAAACCAGAACTGTCCATTCCAATGCCCACATACTGTGCAGGTGCAACATTTTATATTCAGCTTCTTTCCCCTTTATTATTCACTATGAATAACTTATTGTATAGAATTACTATTATTTTATTTTTAACCTTAACAATGGCTACTTGCAAAATAACAAAATGCATCTTCAATGAAATAATGGCAACTTAGTACTAACTAATATTATATAATATGTTTGTTGACTTGAACAGCACATGAGGTATTACATTAATAACTACTATTAAGTAAACAAGGCAAGACAAGTTTATTTATATAGCAACTTTCATACACTGCTGTCATTCAAAGTGCTTTACATATGAGAAAATATAGTGTCAGAAAATAGAGTTGTTTAAAAAAATGTAAATGAAAATAGAAATGAAAACATGATTAAAACAATAGATTGAAAGGACAAAATCATTAAATCAAAAATCAAATTAGAAATTAAATTAGCAGAGTTAATAAAATCTAATTAAATATTAAATTAGATTAAATGTTAGATTAGGATAAAAAAAGGGCAATTTCTAAGGAAAAGGGGCTAAAAACAAGAAAAAACTGCATTTTTAATGTTTTATTACTGTAACAAAGGTAATGTGTTTAACATTAAAGACACATAATATACTACAGTAATAATGGTTATCTAATATTTTTCAGGTTTAAATTATTTCTGTTGTGTTTGCTCCTGTGGTGCTTTACTGTTGATCACACCTGTCACTTTGGAGCTTTTGCATTTTATTTTCTGACCAAAAGAATCAAAAAAGAGAAGAATAGGGATTTACAATCTTCAGTTCCTGTGCTTGTAGATGCTGGACTAAAAAGTTCTGCTCTAGGAGCTGCTAAGTATTTAATATAACTGATGTAAAGTGAAAACTTGTCATGACATAGTATCTTGTGTTTGTAATGTTAACAAATACATTAGTTGATGTGTGACACTTAAAACATAATGGTTTGCTTAATATTAGTTAACCATTATTAATGTAGTGCCTCATATATTGTCCATGTCAACAAATGCAAATCTTAATATTAGGTAGTTTACACTCATTGTAAAGTATAACCAGATAAGAAATGTTCTAGTCAGAAGAACTTCAAGTGAAGTTACACTTTATTGTGACATGACCATGCCATAAGCATGCCATGTCAGATGTCGTATGCTGACATGAGTTGCCATGACAGATTTAGTTCCATAATAATATCATTACCATTACAATTAATTGCCCTGATAGACACCATAATGTGACATAAGCTTTCATGACATCAAACATTGTGGCATCTGTCATAGGAATTATCAGTGATGCAACATTATACTGTTATATTATTACTGTTATGAGTACTCATGGCATTATATGTCTGTAAATACATGTTTTTGACATAGTTATGTCAATGTTATATAGCAGAGCTCAAAAAGTGTCAATTCTACATATAATTTAACAATCCTTGGTTTATTTATTTGTGTATTTATTTATTTTACTAATTTATTTGTTATTTAATTCATTAATTTCCATTAAAATATTAAGAAAAGCACATACATTCCATGGTCAGTACACAAATTACACTAAATTTTCTTACTTAGAAATTAAAAAAGACTTCTTGTTTCCATGACAGTTGCTTTTGACAATGTCACTGACCCCTGCTACAACTACATTTCACTGGATCAACCCTGGAGAGCCAATAATGAAACTGCGTTGGGCATTTCTGATGAAGACTTTAACTGGAACGGATGGTACCGACTGTTCTATTATGGGATGGACATCCGCATGGCAGAAAGCTGTGTTCCTACATCCAGATGTGGTAGTTATAACCCTCTGTGGCTGAATGGTCCTCATCCTCAGATAGAGGATGGAGTGGTCACTCGCCAGGTCTGTGGGAATGGAGGAAGTGACTGTTGTTACTACCATCCCAACCCAATTCGTATTAAAGCATGCCCAGGAAATTACTACGTCTATGAGTTTTTGAATCCAACCTACTACAACACAGCCTACTGTACAGGTAATGTATTTGTTTAATGTTGACCATTCCAATTTTATTAATGCAACCTTCATTAAAATTGTCATGTAAAATTAAAAATACATTTTCCTCCTTTCAGATGTTAACACCATAACTCAGGGTGCTCCCCCGACAACTGAAGCCACTGATTCAGGATTCAGGAGTATGTTTATTCAAAAAGTATTGAATTAGTCAATGTAGCAGGAAAGAATTCAACAATATTTATATAATATATTGCCAAATATTCAGTAAATTAAAACAATGCAGTAGACATCTTCCTCAATTGCTATTTAGATCTTTAATCTAGGGCCAACTTATTATTTATATTTCTACTGATTATTGTCTTTGGCAAAGTCTGCCAAAACTTCAATTCACCAGTACTGAGCCATTCAGAACATGTCAATGGCTTTTATTTCAAATGCCTATTATGAATAATAAACTGTGAAATTGATACTCCGAAAATGAATTGAGACTAATCTTTGTCTTTGTCCACAGCAACAACTCCAACCAATAACACTTTTGACCCCTGCAATGACTACACGGTTCTTGATGATGACTGGAGAAATGCGAGCCACTACTATTACGTTGGCAGCAGAGGTCATGACGACACCACCGTTGAATGGAACGGCTGGTATCGGCTCTTTTTTCAGGGAGCAAGTGCTCAGATTTCTGAGGGCTGTGTTCACCTTTTGGGATGCGCTGGTTACACTTTACTCTGGCTCAGTGGTTCTCATCCACAGCCAGAGGACGGCATCGTCACCCGAGAAATCTATGGATCCACAGTTGATGAAAGCTATGAGTACCAGTGCAAATTATATAGATCTAAACCAATCCAAGTGAAAGCTTGTCCAGGACATTACTATGTCTACAAACTCGTCAAGCCAGATGTATCAATCCCAATGCCTACATACTGCACAGGTAACAAAGTTATTTTGCATATGCCATGTAATGTGGTATTTGATGTTAATAAACAACACCAAATGAATTAAGTATGAAGTGCAATTCACTGAAAAAAGGAAGATATCAAACCTCCGTCTATATAATAATTAGATTAAATAATTAATGTGCTAAGTAGGCGAAAAACAGTTTTCTTAAGCTTGCGACATGCAGTGTAAGCATGTTTCCCCTAATTTTACTGCAAACTCTATAATATTTCCAAACAGTTACTTTCACAAACCCAAGTTATGACCCCTGCAACAACTACAATGAGCTTGATGATCAACGGAGAGGCACAAACTTCACCTACAACAACTTGTGGTGGATGGGTGACAGCAACTGGAACTGGAATGGCTGGTATCGTCTGCTCTATAAAGGAAATAATATCCGGATGCCTGAATCATGTGTAAACCAGTTGATGTGTGGTGCTAATGTCCCTCTCTGGCTCAATGGTTCTCATCCACGGCTGGAAGATGGAGTAGTCACTCGGCAGGTCTGCGGGAGCTGGAACAATGACTGCTGTTATTATAATTCCTACCTAATTCAAGTAAAAGCTTGCCCAGGAAATTATTATGTTTATGAGTTTGTGAACCCAGCCATCAGTAATTCAGCCTACTGTGCAGGTATATTTAATTACTGTGAAGCATGATATTTTATTATTGCCATTGTTTTCTTCTGTTTTTCCTTATGGTAACATGAATTGCAAAAAATGTCCCCATAACAGATGTCGATAGTATTAGCCCAGCTATGACTCCAGAAATCCCAGAAACAACAGCATTTATTGATTCCATCATCACAACAGGTAAATTCCATACATTGTTCATTTAGTCTCAGAGGAACTGTCTTTCCGTTTACATTTTTATAAAGAAATGCAGTTAATATATACCTCAATTTCATCACATCCAAGTGGCATCAGAAAACACTGCCTCAACCCCAGAGTTGGCCAGGGCCCACCAGTGGGCCTAAATTTTTATTACACACTTCCATAACCTAAGAATAGCTCAGCCAGTTTGCATTGAAGTCCTTGTAGTTACTAAATAACAAGCCTTAGTATGTAATAAGCCTGAGATTTAAGAGGTTTAGAGTAGTCTGACATGGGGAGACTTACTCTTATTTATTTCCTACAATAGAATAGATCCCAGATACGAAAACCAATAAACTTGGTGCATCATTTAGCAAATTAAGTTTAGAATATACATGTATGACCCATGTACTTTACACTGAGAGTAGGGGAGAGCAGAGCACAACCTAACACATTTTGGTTTTTGTTGAATACCTTTAAAAATATTTAAGTTGGAGTAATCATAATGTTATACAAGCAACATATACATCTCTGCTACAAACATACATTTGAACTTTCTAATTAATTTCAAATACCTACTGTTCATATAAAATTCCACCAAAATGATGGGTAGAGCAACGTTACAAATTAACCCATGGGTTGGTTTGACTGTAACAGGCAGAGGGTTATATTAACACTTGCTAGAAAAGTCTGATGAATGCAAAGTTAATTTGATATAATTCTATGTTATAAGACAGAAATATATTGTCCAACCATACTGCATTATACTGTTTATTATTGATCTGTCAGACAGACAGACAGACAGTTCAATCAAAAGATACATATACACCTCAAATTATATACAAAAACTGACATGTGACTGTGTGTCAAACAATGACATTTTTTTCCAGTGTAAGACAGCATCTTTCCAATAACTAAAGCTTTACCAACTGTTAATGTCAATTACATTCAGAGATTTATTTAAAACCAAAATTCATGCTTCAAAACTCTGCTATATTGTAGACAACAAGATAGAGATTAAAGTAATATAAGGTTGGATTTTGTGATTCCTTGTTTCTTCAGAGAGCAGTACCACTGAGATAGATCCACCTGCTATTACTACTGCACAACTCATCACTACTACAGGTACGTGAGTTATTCTCTCGCATACTAAGGCTTCATATACAGTAACTACAGGGACTCCAAAGCAAAATGATTGAATTATTCTTAGGTTATAGAAGTGTATAATAAAACACTGGACACATTGGTGGACCCTGGTCTCTCACACTTAGACCTGATCTGATCTAGACCTGATCATAACAATTCTGATAAAGTCTCTTATTTTTTAGGAAAGGCCTGATCAAGAGAAAAAAAATCTAGTCATGAATGCAGTTTGAAGGGAAGTGTCAATAGAGCATCTCTGTTGATCTTATCCCAAAACTTAAAATTTCAAAACTTCTGTATAAAGAATCATACAGTTTAAGCTGCTTTAAATTAAAATGTTTATCATTTGTTTTAATTAGTTAGCAAATGGAGTTTGTTGTTAATGTTCTCATGGTTTACTGTCGACATTAACAATAAATACAATCCTTGTTTCTTCAGAGAGCAGTACCACTGAGATAGATCCACCTGCTATTACTACTGCACAACTCATCACTACTACAGGTACGTGAGTTATTCTGGTCACTATCTCACTATATTTCTCTGAAAAGGCTTTGACGGTAAATAAGGCCACGCTTTCCAACATTAAAAATGAACCAAAATAAATAAATAAATAAACAAACTTGACCATTAAAGTGTCTAATTTATATGTTTTTAATGCTTACATTGTTTTCTTCTTTACACGGTCACTGCTTGTGTCTTCAGAGAGCAGGACCACTGAACTAAATCCACATTTGGCCATATAGTGTACATGCAGATCCTTCTTTAACAAAGTAAAAGGTCTGTGTTAATTTGTGCCCTGCATTAGGCTGTCCCCTCCGCTCCCCTAAATATGATTTTATGAATGCAGAATCCTTTTCCAGTGTTTAGATTCTGCAAATGTTCTGATTTCCTGATACTTCACCTGGAAGCACGAAGTGAGAGGAATTTTTTTATTTTTTATGATATAACTATAACATAACTGGCCGTATCTCCAGCTTTGAGGGTGCTTCCTTAAAGCTCTGGCATAAATCAACACCTTCTGACATGAAAATATAGCCAGACATCATGATGTAAGTGTGTAGTTTATATGTTCTTTTTTGCATTGGCCTGTGAATTAATCACTACCACAGCTATGTCAGTGACACATTCTGGGCAGTTATTCTGGACTCCACTCAGCTTTTGTCATGAGGATTGTTGAGATCCTCTAAATTGAGGTGTAAAGAATGATGAAGTTAAGGAGAAGAGCGACAGTCTGTGCTGTATTCGTTTCTCTTATCAACTCCTTAAAATCCCAGGCATACACACACTAAGGCTTCATATACAGTAACTACAGGGACTCCAAAGCAAAATGATTGAATTATTCTTAGGTTATAGAAGTGGACCCTGGCCTTTTAAGGGCTTAACTGAAGGTCAATCAGATCACATAAAACACCAAATCATTTGAACAATTCAGCACTGTTTTTTTTTTTTTAAACCCAAAGCTAAGTTTTATGTGCTAACAGACCTTCTCATTTAACAGCGCTTTAAGTCTCTCACACTTAGACCTCATCTGATCTAGACCTGATCATAATAATTCTGATAAAGTCTCTTATTTTTTAGGAAAGGCCAGATCAAGGGAAGTGTCAATAGAGCATCTCTGTTGATCTTATCCCAAAACTTAAAATTTCAAAACTTCTGTATAAAGAATCATACAGTTTAAGCTGCTTTAAATGAAAATGTTTATCATTTGTTTTAATTAGTTGGCAAATGAAGATTGTTGTTAATATTCTGACATTTTAATGTTGATATTAATGGTAAATACAATCCTTGTTTCTTCAGAGAGCAGTACCACTGAGATAGATCCTCCTGCTAATACTACTCCACAACTCATCACTACTACAGGTACGTGAGGAATTTTTTTCAATTTTTTCATGATATAACTATAACTCCACAATCTGTACTGTATTTGTTTCTCTTATCAACTCCTTAAAATCCCAGGCATACACATACTAAGACTTCATATACAGTAACTACAGGGACTCCAAAGCAAACTGATTGAATTATTCTTAGGTTTTAGAAGTGTGTAATAAAACACTGGGCCTATCTATGGGCCCTGGCCTTTTAAAGGCTTAACTGAAGGTCAGTCAAATCAAGATTGCCAAACTGCCAGATTATTTTTTAAGTAAAACATTTTAAATCATTTTAACAATTCAGCACTTTTTTTATTATTATTATTATTTTTTTTTAATCCCAAGATAAGTTTTATGTGCTAACGGACCTTTTCCTTTAACACAGGTTTGTGTCTCTCACACTTGGACCTGATCTGATCTAGACCTGATCATAACAATTCTGAAGTCTCTTATTTTTTAGGAATGGCCAGATCAGATCAAGGGACGTGTCAATAGAGCATCTCTGTTTATCTTATCCCAAAACTTAAACCATAAAGAATTATATAGTTTAAGCTACTTTAAATTAATTTTACCCCGATTTTCTCCCCAATTTAGTCGTAGCCAATTCCACCCCGCTGGTTAGGACTCCCCCAATCACACGATGCTATCAACGCTAGGAGGGTGAAGGCTAACACAGGCTCCCCCCGAGACCTGTGAAGCGCCACCGCTTTCTTTTCGAGCTGCCGCTCACGCAACGTCACTGGACAGCTGAACGCGCTCGGAGGAAAGCGCCAACCGCCAGATCTGTTACGTCAGCTAACAGACGCCTGCGCTGACCAGCACCGCGCTGAGTGAGTGATAGGGGAGAAGGGCAGCCATCCCACCCACCCAGAGAGAGAGAGAGAGCGAGGCCAGTTGTGCTCTCTCGGACTCCCGGCTACGGATGGCTGTAGCATCACCAGGGATCGAACTCGCGATCTCCTGATGATAGGGCCAACGCTTAGACGGTTGCGCCACTTGGGAGCCCGAATTAAAATGTTTATCATTTGTTTTAATTAGTTAGCAAATGGTGTTTGTTGTTAATGTTCTCATGGTTTACTGTCAACATTAACGATAAATACAATCCTTGTTTCTTCAGATAGCAGTATCACTGAGATAGATCCACCTGCTATTACTACTGCACAACTCATCACTACTACAGGTACGTGAGTTATTCTGGACTCTACTGAGCTTTTATTAGAGTGATTGTTGAGATCCTCTAAACTGAGCTCTACTGAGCTGAATGTTAAGCAAGAGAACAAATCCTATAGTGAACTCAGAGCGTAAAGGGAAGTGTCAGTAGATCATCCTTTCTGACCTTTGCCTAAAACTACACAACTGTATGCTTTAAGTTACACTATATAGAATTTAATCTATGAAAACAAAGAGAATAAGGTACTGTGCCTTTTCAAAAACGTGAGTGCTGTTTTGAGCTGGTCAGAAGAACAAAAGTTTGGTTTGGCTTGTCCTCGCTTTTTTCTGTAAAATGGTTTCGACAGCAAAAATCTATGTTCAAAGCTCTTGCATGAATCAGCGCCTTCCTATATTAAAAATAGCCAAAGTCACAATGAAAGTGTGCAGCTTATAGTAGAGTCCAGAATCTAGATAACGCTTTTCTGAAAAGGGTTCTGTGTAGCACCAAAAAGCGTTCTTCTATTGTTATGATGTCAGGCTTGTTACAGTAGAGGAACCATTTTTGGTGCTTTTCAAAAAGGTTTTATGTAGAACCATCTACAGCACATTCTCCATCAATCTGAAGAACACTTTTGTAATGCAAGGAACCTTTTAATCATCCAAAGGGTTCTTTGAATGTTCATGGTTCTATACAGAACCATTCTCTTTACTAAAGAACCCTTGAAGGACCATCATTTTTAAGTGTGTAGTAGAGCTTGAAGGGAAGTGTCAAGGCAGCATCTCTACTGACCTTAGCCTGACCTAAACCATAAAAGTGTAAGTCAAGCCAACTCAAAGTTTATTTATATAGTGTTTTTACAACAGGCATTGACACAAACAGAAAAAAAAAAATGATGAAAACGCCACTAAAATAATAGATTTAAAAAAAGAACATCATTAAATCATCAAAAAGCAAATTAGAAATTAAATCAGGATAGTTAATAAAAACTAATTACATATTAAAAATTAGGTTAAATCTTAGATTAGGATAAAAAAAAGGGCAATTTCAAAGGAAAAGGGGCTAAAAACAAGAAAAAACTGCATTATTTAATGTTTTATTACTGTAACAAAGGTAATGTGTTTAATATTAAAGACACATAATATACTACAGTAATAATGGTGATCTAATATATTTGGGGTTTAAATTAATTCTGTTGTGTTTGCTCCTGTGGTCCTTTACTGTTGATCACACCTGTCACTTTGGAGCTTTTGCATTTTAGAATTAGTAATGATATTATTACAGAACTAAATGCAAACAAAGTTAATTCAATATAATTCTATGTTATAAGAAAGAAATATACAGGGTGTCCCAAAAAAATTGACATCATTTGAGATGTGAATATCTGAGTAACTACATGTCCTGGCAAACGAAATTAAATAGGCTTCATGTTAAACAATACAAGATTTATTTATCAAAATTCAAACAAGAAATTCAGAGGGATGTAGATTTTATAACCGATTTCACGAAGCTTCACCAACGTAATGTCTTCCGATACTGGTGGTCATCCAGATCCCTTGTCCTGCACAGACAGCCTTCCTCTTTGAAGTTTTCTGCCATGTCCAAATCTGCTTTCCAGTTGGTGCATTTTTATTGAATTTTCTCGAAAATGCACGCTGCACACTCTCGGTTGGGTTCGAGCATATTCTAACACACAAAATGCCTTTTCATTTCTAGTGAATGCCATTCTTCAACCTGAAAAGAAAACATTAAAAAATAAACTAGTTACACATTAGTTTTACACATTTTGTTAAAATTTGAGATCATTTGAGGGAGAATTGGCTGTTATTAGACTACGAAATGATGTCAGTTTTTTGGGACACCCTGTAATGTCCAACCACACTGCATTATACATTTCATTATCTATCTATAAGACAGACAGACAGTTCAATCAAAAGATACACATTAACATCAAATCATATACAAAAACTGACATGTGACTGTGTGTCAAACAAAGACAAAGTCAGTTTTGTCCAGTGTAGGACAGCACACATCTGTAAAATATGGAACATTATTTCTGAATAACTACAGCTTTACCAACTGTTAATGTCAATTACATTAATATATTTATTTAAAACCAAAACGCTGACATCTGAAAGAGACAAATGAAGTAGAAGACAATGCCTGTTTTCAGATATTTTCTCTGTTTCATTTTAAGATCTGTGTGAACACATGGAACAAAAAGACAAAATTTACTTCATATTTCTTTGGTTACTAAGGTGGCTTAGTTGTAATGCCATGTAACAACTAACCCTGCACTACAGCTGCTGTAAGCTTGTCTCATGCTTCAAAACTCTGCTACATTGTAGACAACAAGATAGAGATTAAAGTAATATAAGGTTGGATTTTGTGATTTACACAAACAGCTCAGTAACGGAAAAAACTTGTGTAAAAAAAGTACTTATATGTCTTGAAAACACTCTTTGGCACAGATCTCTTTAAAATGCTGATGAATCACTGAGAATTTTTGTGGGAGACCGTGGGTAGGAAATGTTGTAATGTGGCGAGAAGCATTGACCTTCTTTAACAAAGTAAAAGGTCTGTGTTAATTTGTGCCCTGCATTTTTTTTAATCCCAAGATAAGTTTTATGTGCTAATGGACCTTTTCCTTTAACACAGGTTTGTATCTCTCGCACTTGGACCTGATCTGATCTAGACCTGATCATAACAATTCTGATAAAGTCTCTTATTTTTTAGGAATGGCCAGATCAAGGGACGTGTCAATAGAGCATCTCTGTTTATCTTATCCCAAAACTTAAACCATAAAGAATTATATAGTTTAAGCTGCTTTAAATTAAAATGTTTGTCATTTGTTTTAATTAGTTAGCAAATGGAGTTTGTTGTTAATCTTCTCATGGTTTACTGTCGACATTAACGATAAATACAATCCTTGTTTCTTCAGAGAGCAGCACCACTGAGATAGATCCACCTGCTATTACTACTGCACAACTCATCACTACTACAGGTACGTGAGTTATTCTGGTCACTATCTCACTATCTTTCTCTGAAAAGGCTTTGATGGTAAATAAGGCCACGCTTTCCGACATTAAAAATGAACCAAAATAAATAAATAAATAAATAAACTTGACCATTAAAGTGTGTAATTTATATGTTTTTAATGCTTTCATTTTTTTCTTCTTTAAACTGTCACTGCTTGTGTCTTCAGAGAGCAGGACCACTGAGCTAAATCCACATACAGTGTACAAGCAGATCCTTTTTTATGTGCTGGTTTGGTTCCTCTGATCCTCAGTGCAATTCCACCAATTTGTATGGATTTGCCCAAATCAAACACTAGCACAAGTGATTAAACTGTAACGATTTCTGAGGACTCCTAGCATTGTATTTTTCCCACTCTAATACTCTTAACCCAGCCAATGAGGGGCTTGTTAAGTAGTTAATGAGCTGACTGAGGTGTGCCAGATTAGGCAACACACAGAAATGTGCATACTGTATTTGTATTTATTCTAAAATTAGTATTTATTTTCCACCAAATTAACATTTACAGCAGGGGTGCCCAGTCCTGGTCCTGGAGATCTAACAACCTGCAAGGTTTAGCTCGCACCCTAGATCAGGTGTGTTGGATCTTTCCAGAACCAGGTTTGAACACTCCTGATTTATAGTTTTAAATTTTATAGCTGTGTACATACTGTATGATTTTTCTTACTCATGTACAGTACTGTTGTAGACATCACCTACTAAACACTGACCGACTGTTGCTCTTTGTGGTCCTGCCAAGTCCTTTGTGCAGTCTGAGGTTTTTACCCTTTGACTAGTTTAATTCTGTTTGTGACAAACCTGTTTGCACTCTGATAAACCTCTCTTGTAACAAATATCATTATTAATCTTGCCATTGTAAATACATTTATCTGCTTGTTTTTTTCTCTTTTTAGCAAGAGTGGACCCCTGTGTGGAGCTGAACTGCACTGAGGATGAGTGGTGTGGGGAGAGAGATGGCATCTATGGCTGCTTCTGTAATGACAATCGCCCAAAACCAAGAAACAAGACTTACGGTAACAGCAAATTCTGATAAGCATTGATACTCAAAAGCACTTTCTTCTAACTGTGTCACTAAAACAACTTCTCACATGTCTTTCCACTCTCTGTGTTCCAGACTCCAGAGAAACCTGTGAGAGCAGCTCTGGCACCATGTCTCTGTCCCGCTGTCAGCTCTTTGAAGCTGGTTTCCCTGCTAACGTCCTGCACCTGAGTGACCCCAGCTGCAATGGAACTCTCCAAAATGGCAGACTGGTGTTCCACTTTGATAATGATGACCACATCTGTGGCACAAATCTCACGGTATAATAAACAGGAATAGTAAAACTGTATTTCCCTTAAGTTTAGGTATTAACTCTTTAAAATCCATGGCATATTACATACTAAAGCTTATTATTCAGGAACTACAGGGCTTCAATGCAGACTGGCTGAGCTATTCTTAGACCCAATCCCATTTCACCCATTGCCCCTACCACTTAGGCAATCCCTTCATTTTGTGCATTCATGTGAAGGGGTAGGATGTCCCAGTTTTTGTTGAGATAGAGGGGTAGGGTGAAGTGTTAGGGCTACATGGCCATGGCACACTCCAAACAAGTGTTACAAGCAAAAGAAGAGCCAGCAAGATGGCTGTGAAAGCGACCAAAGAAACACAAAAATGTAAATATTTTCTCTGTTAAAAATATGATAACCATTGTATTCTCGTTTCAATGTACTATGGTCCTTTTCTTCAGAACCAGCATAAAAAAATCACCAGTAGTATGCTGATGTGTCTGTAGCTAGCTAGCAGAATTCTCTGTTCCACTTTAAATGGATACATTCTGGTGCCTCAGGTGTCAAAACTGCTGCACCATTAAAGGTGGAATGGGAAAATTCAAGCAAGAGGCTGGCAAATAGCTGACTTCACCTTCATATCACTGAAGAATTTGTGTTGGGTAATAAAAAATAATTGTCATTACCCCCTCTATGAAGGCATATGATGCCCTAAATTTAACTAAAGGCCAAAGGTAGTGAGGTACTGAAGTTCTCTGCTCCTCTGCTATCACTGCAGACTGGCAGGGTCACCTATAGGGCACCGCTAGTAGCCTCTTAATAAAGTAATGTTCTTTTTTATTTGAGGGTCCCATTTCATAGGGGACAATGTCGACCACTACCCCTAGTTACTTAAGTTTCAAGGGCAAAGGTGACACTCAAAAACAAGGGGTAGGGGTAAAAATAAGAAATGGGACTGGGCCTTAGGTTATAGAAGAGTGTAATCAAACTAACCTAGTAAGTTAGAGGCACAATCTCCAAAGAACTAAGTAATTATATTGGGTAACATGATGGTAAGCTGTAAGGCAGTCTAATCTAAAAACAGCTTATGAGTATTAACTGGGTACGTGTTGTATAAAAACTAGTTAAGTAATAGTTAATTACATTGAAAATTAAACATCCTGACTTTCTTACAAAAGTACACTGAAATATCAAGAGCTATTAAGATAAAGAAATACATACTAAAATATGTCAAAATTGTATACGTTTTGGAGTAACAAAGTGATAAATACAAAGAAACATATTACTTCCATTGTAATATCATGTGTTTTGGCAGCTAAGTAAATTTTGTAGCTGTGAATTAACAGCAGTTTATAGGTAATAGACAGGTATGTACTATAAAAGATCCGTATAAAGATCACTTTTTCCCCTGTACATCTACATGGTCCTTACAGTTTTTTTGTACAGTTGTATTTGTACTTTACTGCTTAAATGTGGCAGTACTGTTCCTTTCAGTTAGACTGACTAGTGACTGACTCATTTTACCTCTAAATAATTACCTAATTAGAACCTGTTGGGCATTTTAGCGCAATTTGGTCAGACTAAGTTTGAACTTTCCATCATGTTACACAAAATAACTACTCAGTGCTCTGGCATTTGTAATGTCATTACCTGTAACGTCGAAGTTACCTGGTTAATACCTAGGACTTAAGGGTATGTAAAAGAAGTATAACCCAGAAACCATACAGGCTGATTCAACTGAATAAATTCAGAAACACTTGGGCAAACACTTTGTTTTTATCATGTTATTTCCAATTAAAGTAAGATAAATATAACTTAACAGGCCAACGGCACTCACTTCATCTATGAGAACACTATCCAGGGAGTAGCTGACTCAGCAGGAGGACCCATCAACAGAAAGAAACATCTGGAATTGCGTTTCTCCTGCATTTATCAGCTCAGCCAGACACTCACCATGGACACAGTATTCAACCCTCTGCTGAGGTAAAATAAAAAGCACAAATTTTTTTACATACATTAAGCATAAATCTTCCTTAAATCGCGCTGCCTGTAAATGACTTCTTTAAACAGCAGTTCATTAAAAACCATAAAATAACTTTGTGAGGAAATAATATTACTAGAATAGCATTTATGTTATGGTACAACCTCAAGTTATAAATCAACTTGTAACTGGACATTTCTACAGCATAGTGCACAAGACCCTTCCAGATGGTCAGGGGCTGTACCAGGTCAGGATGAAACCCTATCAGGATGCTGCCTTCTCCCACCCCTACAATGGTATTGTGGACATAGAGGTGGACCAGCGGATCTATGTGGAAGTGATTGTTCAGGGGGTGGACAGCCGTCAGATTGCCACAGTGATAGATTCATGTTGGGCCACTCCTGTGAATGACCAGAACTATGCTGTCCAGTGGAATCTCATCAATAAAAGGTAAGAGAAGACCATAGCGAGGTCATACAGGGGTCTGATGTGTGCATTCTCTGTACTATTGTCAATTATATTTCATTTTCTGCAATCCTGCCTCTACATCTGATCCAAAATAAGTTTGACTGTCTGAAGCTGAGATGCTACAAAATGCTTTCAGGTGTCCTAATTCTGGTGATCCCACGGTGAAAGTGCTTCAGAATGGTGTCTCCACAATCGGCCGTTTCTCCTTTAAGATGTTTGCCTTTAACGGGAATTACTCCAAAGTTTTCCTTCACTGCTCCATCCACCTTTGCCTTCTGCAGCATAGCAACTGTGCAGTGGTGAGTTCAGAAACCTCTCATCCAATCACACAGCAACATGCAGAACAGCTGAAGTCCTGACTCCACATTCTGACCTGACACTGATTATAAGAAGTGGCCTAAAAATGGGGCCAGCATAATTTATTCATTCATTACTTATTTATTATGTATTCTGATGGCTAGGATACCACTTAAACTCCAGCAGCATTGCTGTGTCTGACCCACTCAGACCAGTGTAACACACACTAACACACCGCCACCACGTCAGTGTTACTGCAGTGCTGAGAATGATCCACCACCCAAATAGTACCTGCTCTGTGAGGGTCCATGGGGGTCCTGACCACTGAAGAACAGGGTAAAAGGGGGCTAACGAAGTATGCAGAGAAACAGATGGACTACAGTCTGTAATTGTAGAACTACAATATGCACATATATAGTAAGTGGAGCTGATAAAATGGACAATAAGGGTAGAAACAAGGAAGTGATCATAATGTTATGCCTGATCGGTGCATGTTCTAGAACTAGGCTGGTCAGCTAGCTAACAGCCTAAACAACTCCATCATTAACAACACAGGCTTGATTTTAAGCATGTATGGTATGATTAACTGGAAAACTGTCATGAAAATGTCACTTGAGTGACTTACACGCTTCAAATGTCTGTGTTTCAGTCAGAAGTTGCATCAAACCCTGGCTAAATACTAAACAGCTCCATACTCCCTAAATAGTGTGCTAGCAATGAAAGTTTAGAAATTCTAGCCTCTACATTCAAATAGTGAATCTTGTATCGAGTATGGATGTGGTTGAGTCTCATGACTATTTCTTAGCTATATTTTGCACCATTGGGATGCAGGATCCAATATGTAAATTCCTACACATTGCACTATGTAGGGAGCTGGGAGCCATTTGAGATTCAGTCCCAGCAAGAGAAGAGGGGCACGCTGGGTTAATGCTAAATACGACTTGTGGAGGTAATTTGGTGACCAAAAAGTACTTATAAAGGGAAGGGCTTTGCATTAGACAGTGCTGTGTCATCATGTGTTCATTGTTATACAACAAAAATTAATGAAATGGCCGCAACATACAGCGATGGGCGACAGAATGTTCTCTCCAGCAGCGGTCCATGGTTGCTTGGCAAAGGAACTACATTTCTTGTTTAAATCTGTTATTATTAATAATAACTCAAATTATTTTCTGAAAAAAATGGTATTTTATCATATTTCATGTTGACTATCGTTTTATAAAAGCAATAAGCCACTTGAGACCATGCGTTACTGCAATTTTATCACAGACAGGGAAGGGAGTTTTAGGCACTCTGCTTCACCCTTCTGATGATAAAATCGCAGTAATCCACAGCCTTTTGAGGTTTATTGCTTTAGTATATACTTTCAAAAGAGAACCAGCACTTGGGAGTGAATAGTGGTAAATTGCATATTTTCTAAAATATTTATTGTTTAGACATATATGTGTAATATCTTATACTCATGTATACTCATGATTCTTAAACATAATTTGGAAATATTACGATTTAATAATGAAAATGTTTGCAAAAATAGATTATTATAACTATTTAAACAACAGCAGTACCTACTGACTGCACACTGTTATAGAATGCAATGGGATATTTTATTCTCATATCTATAAAGGATCTTTTGTGTAATTTGTATGGAGTTTTTAGTGCTGCTGCCACAGATTATCTGTTTTGTCATTTACAGAACTGTTCCCCTAAACAGCAGCACAGAGCTGCCCGGTCTGTGGACACCCACGACAGAGCCTCCATCTCTGTGGGGCCTTTTATCTGGACTGCTGGAAGCACAGCTAAACACTAACATGTAATAAAGCCACAAATGCATTCACATGTTTTTTCCCAATAAAATATTCTGTAGATAAATAATCACTGCAGGAAGTTGCTTGTAAGTTTTTTAAGTTGCAGTAGTCAGATTCAATGGACATTAATTAAACGTAATTGTTGCTAATTGTCTACAATTTTCATTTCTTTATGAAGATGGGACAAATACAGTATATGTTGCCATTTATTAAGGTGTACAATATTTGTTTCTGCTTTAGATTTTCTGTTGACAGATGAGTGAGTGTCTGATGCCAGGTCTGCTCCTGCTGTGTGTGGATCCTCTTCTGAAGACAATCTGACAACATTCAATATGGGTTTTAGGCTCAATAAGCCAATGACAATAGCTTTACATTCATAATAATATAATATGTAGGATATTTTTCTGTAATTGATTTTAAGCATTTAAGATTATACTGTCTGGATCAGAGAGGGAATTAATGTTGAAAATGTCAAAATATGTGCTATTGTTTCTCCAAAACTTCCATGTTTTTTCTACTTTTAAGTGTAGATTTTAGCATCATATGTCTGTCAAACTCTTAAGAGTGTTTTTGGAAAATCATCGTAAAACTGTATACCATCTTTAGGGCATTTCTAATATACCTGATCACAATTTCTTTCATTTTTCATCTTTATTATACTTCAAAAACTTGCTTTTGGAGCTTCTGTTCCCTCTGTTCTCTTAATGTCTGCATAATTGCCTTCATTTTAGATTAACAATCATAAGTGAAAACTAAATAGTTCTTCCAGTCTGTCATTTTGAGACAAATTAAATATGATGTGGTTAGCATGTATTTCTTCATGTGTCTGACCCATGGTGGTGATTTATCATCTGGTGTTAAAGGGATTTAATAAATGTGCCTAAATAATTCTTTATTATGTATTAATCAGCCAGTACAACAATGTTTTCAAACATTTAAAACCCAAACATACACTGTATGTGACATGGACGAAGACCACAAGCATGCAGGAACTTAAATAGGAAATATCACATTCATGCCGTTAGGCATTGAGGACTGGGTCATGGTTAAGATAGTTAAACGTGTTTGAGGTCAAAGCTTTGCGCAGGCTAATCAGTCTTCTGCAGTCTGTAGTCTTTTGTACCAACCCTCCTTTTGCACAAGGGCATTTTCATGTCAATTAGCGGTCTTCCCCACTTTGCTGCCACAAAGTTGGAAACAAGCAGTTCTCTAGACTGTATCTGAACTAAGGGGTTAAATTATAACTTTGCAGCTGAGCTGTTTTTGCTCCTAGATGTTTCCATACCATAATAACATCACTTACAGTTGACCAGGGCAGCTCTAGCCAGGCAGAAACTATGACTGGCAGAGAAGGAAATGTGGCTTCCTGTGACAGTGGCACACTGCAAGCCACTGATCTCCTCAGTATGATTAATTCTACTGCCGGTTGTCTGTGGAGGTTGCCTAGAACTGCTTAGAAAAGTGCTACAAAGGGTTTCAAGAGCAATGCCATAGAACTGAGTTAATTTCAAAATAATGCCTTAATATAATAATATAATAACAATAACCATGTTGACATCCAAATATATAAAACCGGACTCTATATCATAATGGAACACACATAGGTTTAACAACTCATTCAATTTCTAAAAGTGCCAGCCAAAGCATTCTTATTTAGAATATTGTCACTGTCCAAAGAAAAACATGTATCTCCAAAATTGTAACTTTACAGGAGAGGGCAAAAAAACTGGAATGTTCTTTACTTTTAATGTAAGTAAATGGAAAGAGAATATATTCTTAGCAATTTTGGTGCATTTTTATTTGTCTGTTCATCATGACATTTTCACACAATGTAAAGAATGGCTGCCGTGATGTTGAAAAGTGAAAGTCGCAAAAAATGGAGATACATGTTTTTCTTTGGACAGTGACGATATGCTTACTGCCCTAACTGTAAAAGGGAAATATTGTGCATTTGCTACATTAAAATAATCAGTTCAAGAAGCGTAAGGAATGCCCATGGATATCATGAAACATGACTTTTGAGAGAAATAATTGTTTTTTTTTTTGGAAGATTAAAATAGCAATAGGCATTGAAAATGGCTATGTGTATTCTTTTTCCATTTTTTTAAATGTTACTTGTAGTCTTTGTTAATATATTTTCTGATAGTCCACTGTAGATGCTTCATAGGTGCTTAGTCTGTCCTTTAGTAACATTCAGCTAAATATCTCTTAAATGTAACTGAAAGTTGAGTGTGATAGATTCTAATAAATCAGCTCTAACCTTAAACCTAACCCTCACTTTAACCTTAAACCTGCACCTAGTCCTAAACATTGTTGATAATTTAAATAGTATATTAATAATTAACATATCTGTGGATCATCTATAAGGAATTATCAAAATAATGTGTAACCAAATGATTTTGTAGATCATTGGAGGGGGCTTTTTCACAAAGAAGGTATGCTATCTCAAAAATCTTTGTAATGAGTAGTCAACAGGAATTTATATACTCATTATACTCCCCGTTTTAAAAACACTTACCTTGTACTTAACTGTCTACTTTATAAAGTTCACCAACCTTATATGCCCACCTCACAGGTGTACAATTTCATGCTGTAGCCCATATGTTGTCATGCACAATTTGTCAGCTGTCCTTAACCCCTGTGATTATTGGTCAGTATCTGAGACTGCTGTTGACCAGACAGTGGTAGATCAGTACAGTAGATGCGCTGATATAGTATTGGTGTGGTGGTCATAACAATGTTGCTGGATTTTTACACATCATAACCACTGTTGGGTTGAGAATAGTCCACCATTCAGGAAATGTTCTTGTTCAAACTTGTAAATGTAACTGTTAGAAAAAGCTAGAAGGCAGCAGATACATGAATTTCATTTTACATTTATAGGCTATAATCTCTACATGATGGGTGATGAATGTATTCTAATCAAGCATAAAAGGTATCATGTGATTGCTTAGGTATTTGATTATCTCTACAGATTGCATCACATTCCTAGCTGAATGAAGACAGAGGACATCACTCCAGTAATTTAAAGATGGCAGATGGTTTGATGGCACCACAATGGAAGCTCAAATATGGTACATAATTTTTGTTTGTCTGATTTGTTAAAACAACTCAGAAGTGTGTAAAGTAGGCTTTTTTCTGAAGAAATCTATTATTGCTTTTCTAGTGCCAGTATTGAAAGAACATTATACTGCCAAATTACTCTGTTCAACTGATTTCACAAAAACACTGAAGTTTAGAGTTCAGTTAGATTACCAAACCATAACTGTTCACACAAAGTATAAAAAAGGTATTAGAGGTGCATGACCATTATCTATGTCTCACTGTGGGACAGATTATAGAGGGTGGTATACCCTAATGCAAAAGCCCCACAGATGAATTTGCAGTTCTCTGAAGGTCTGACTATTTTTTTATATTATAGCACCACTAAGCAGCAAGGCAGAATAGGATCAGATAGGATATGCAGTTATCAAGTAAATTACAGTTGGCTTGGCTCGGCTCATTTCAAGAACAACTAAACATATGGTAGCACAGCAATTTTATTTTTTGTTCATGGTCTAATTTCAACCTCCTCGCTGCCAAACAGGGAATTTTTCTCCAATCCGAACGGGGCCAACAGAGATGTTGCCCTCCCACTGTGGACCTGAGGCATGGAGACAAAAGCATTTAGTTTCAAGCTTTACAAAAGACACTAAAGGCAGCAAGCATGACCTGATGAAACTCCCACACACCTGCCACAGGAGACGCACTTCCTCCATCCCTTAAGCCACAGCTTGTGTCACAACAGCCACAGACCCGGTCATCGTCATCTGCTGTAGTCCACCTGAGGAACAGCACAGTTAAATCTTGGTCAGGTCACCTCATCTAATGTACAAGCTTAGCATTTCTTCCTTCTGCAAACTGACCTGTTAGCAGTGAAGGAACAAGCTTTGTGCACAGCATCAGTGGGAGCAGAAGCAGAAACAGATGTAGCCTTCAAGAAGCATGTCAGGTAGATCTGCACAGAAGCAAAAAGCATAAGCCCACAAGAAACAACTGTAGCAAAAATCACAAAGCAAGCACTTTTACTTACCAAGTCACTGCTCTGCTGCTGAAATACAAAGGCTTCCAGCTGAAACTGGAGCTTATCCGCCTGAACTCGAGGCAAAAAGCGAGACGTGGAGCCTGTAAGCTTAGCATCTACCAGGCACCTAGAAACAAGAACAGGATTAGACTCAAGGTGAGCCTGCATGGGCAGAGTTAGGAAGGAGGCTTGCTTACCCATAGTTCTCAATAAAGGAATATCTGGGGACAGCATTTGCATCAGGCGCTGCAGTAGCCACACAGCTGTCCACAAAAATCCTGAGAGGCACATGGTTGTACTGCATGACAGATGCTTCAATATTTATGAGGTCACCCAGGAAATACTGGTTGGATGGCCTCTCAAACTGCCAGTCATCTGAGAAGAGACAATCAGCCCATTGCAGGAACATTTTATGAAGCCTTAAACTACTTGAACACAACCATGTTACAAACCAGTCATGAGCCTGAGGGAGAAGACCAGACGTTCCTCAGCAGTCACAGTAGAAGCATAAGGTATCCAGGCAGGCAAGAGGGCATTGCTGCTTACATTATGTAGCCTGAAAGAGATGGAAAGCATATACCAAACTCTGCAAGCAAGCAAATAAAGACTTACCCCCCCAAAACCCTGGAAGACTGATCATTTGGTGGATAAAGTTTTACCAATTATAATGGAAGGGAAGAAGGAAGGTATGGGTCTGTGTCTGATAACATGGTTGCCACTCAAAAAAGACAAATTGAAACTTATCTTTATCTTAATTCACCAAGATAAAGTGTACACTTGGCAAGAAGTACCAGTTTTGGAATCCTTTTTTTGGTGCTACATAGAGTTATTTTTTTATAAAGCATAACATGCAACTGGTTCTCAGAGTAAACTCCATTTGACCATGCAACAACCATTTGTTTTAGAACCACTGCCTCTACTAAAGACATCCATTTTAAGAGTACTGCAGCTCATGGCTCTCTGAAATATTGGAGATGTTCAAAGTTTCTTACACAGCACCATTATAATCTAATTCACATGACTTGCTACATGTCAGTTATTTACTTGAGCTTAAGACAACAGATGGATGGAAACCTAGATACTCAGTGGCCAATACATTGGAGGCAAGCTGGTCCTTACCTTGGATAGTGGCACTCAATAGCAACCATAGCACCTCCCGTCCTCAAGATTGGCATCCCACCCAATGGTTCAGAGGCATATTGAAGGATGAAGCTGTAGACCAGCTCATCTGCAGTTGTCTGGAAAAACAAACATGAAGATTCAGTAGCATCATACAGTCTTAGTGGAATCAAGTAGGCCAGGCCTGGAGGAGCTGTAATTCACCTACAGCTATAGACTCACCGTTAGCACACTATTGCACAGCTGCAGCTCTGCTTCAAAGATGAGAACCTGAGCAGCAGAATCTTCTCCTGTTGCTGCACAGCCTCCAAGACTGAGAGCTGAGGGATTTATTAGCTCTCCAGTTCCAAACAAATCCTTCTTAACCTCCACATACACAGAGTTCTCTCCACAATCAGCTGCAACACTCACAA